ATCAATAGGGGATGTGGCAACTCAAACTCTGCTGATGTGTCCTTCCAGTCTATAAATATTTAGGAAGTACTCAAAAAGCAAACGGATGGTGCTAACAATAAATTACCATCCAAGAGTATTGAAAGCAAAACTGATAAGGAAAGGACCTTTTGAGTTTTTTATTGAAATAGAGTAGATTTCTCTTAACCAAAAATCTCCAATGGTTGTTTAAGTCATTTATTTGAAATGAGACCAGTTGTAAGACATTATCACCTAACCAGGTACAAGCGTAGTGCTTCTTTGGCTTTTTCACTCATTCAAGTGTTCCAATAGTTGTTGTAGCTTTTTCTAACACTTATTAAAATGAATATAAAACTCTTGAAGTAGGGGCGCCTGGGTGGCTCAGTGGGTTAAAGCCTCTGCCTTTGGCTCAGGTCATGGTCCCAGTGTCCTGGGCTCGAGCCCCACATCGGGCTCTCTGCTCAGCAGGGAACCTGCCTCCTCCTCCTCTCTCTCTGCCTGCCTCTCTGCCTGCTTGTGATATGTATCTGTCAAATAAATAAATAAAATCTTAAAAAAAAAAAAAACCTCTTGAAGTAAATAATATCCATTACTGCGAGTATTGTTTTATTTTAACAAACCACCTGAAACCATTGTAGGTATGGGGGCCATTTGAAGGAAACACAGAATTCCTGGCAGGGGAAGATCAAATACAAAGGCATGAGAACATGAGAAAAACATGATTTATCATGAGAATTCCAAGTGCCTTAGACTAAGAGGTGTGGAGCAGGGAATGTCAAGGAATAAGACTAAAAGATAAACAGAGGTCCAGAATACAGATAGTCTGCTTTGCCTGGCAGAAGAGAGACTTCACCTGAAAGGTACTGGGAAACCATGGAAAGATATTAAGTGGGAAGTGAGTGCCAAGATGAGATTTGTGGTTTTGAAAGATCAAAGATCAGTCTATTGGCAATGTGGAGAATGGATTGGAGGTCAAGAAGATGGAAGGTGGGAATGCTGCTGCAATAATTCTACTGGGCAAAGGAAGAGATGGGTTAGAAAATCTGGGGAAGATGGGCAGAAGAATTTAGTGGGTCACTGGCAATGGAGGTTGAAGATTTGTCCCATTTCTCTTCTCTGCCATAACCCAAGACTGAGTTCACTACCCACAGGTGGGAAAGTGAGGGGCTTGGATGACTGCCAAGTTTCCAGGTTGGGTGGTTGTAAAGTTGTGCCATTAACTAGTATGTTTGTGGGAGATAAGTTGTAAAAGGGATATAATGAGCACAGTTTGGGGCACATTAAATTTGAAGGCCTGTGGTACATTCAGGTGTGTGTATCTAGCAGACAGTTTGGGGGAAGAGTGAGACCTAGAGGCAGAGATATGAGGTCATTAGTAGTCATGGGAGAGATGAGAATGAGAGGCATTTAAAAGCGGAAGAGAAAAAGGTCCATGTCAGCACCCTGGGGGAATAACAAGTTTTAATTGTTTGGAGAAGAAAAGCAACTAGCAAAAGCAACTGAGAAAGAACAGTGAGGGAGGTAGGGAAAGAACCGGTAATGAGAACTTATACAGAAATCAGTGAAGGAGTAAGTTTCAGAAAAATGCAATGATCAACAAGTTCAGATACCTCAAAAAGGTGAAGCCCATTGGTGGGGTCTGTGAATGATGGTGGAGTTTCAGTGGAGTTGGGGAAGGGGGAGGGTGGGTGACTGGGAAGTAGAGGATGCTTTCCTCCTTTGAGCAGTGAGTGGGAGGCAGGCCAAGTGAAGGGAGAACCAGTAGCTGGAGTGTTATGTAGGCATGAGGGTTCTTGGTTTGTTTGTTTATTTGTTTTTTGTTTTTTAACATATGTTATTTGTTTCAGGGGTGCAGGTCTGTGATTCAACAGTCTTACACAATTGGCATGAGGGTTCTTTTCTAAGAGAGGAGACACTCATACTTATTTATATGCAGGAAAGTAGCCAAAAGAATTAGGTTAAAATTGAATGAGATTGAGGACAGTTAAATAAAGCAAACTCCCTTAGGATAAGGAAAAGGATGAAATCCAAGAGTATGGAAGGGCAAGGACATGGAGAAATTGGAACCCTCGTGCATTGCTGGTTGGGAATATAAAATGGTACAGCCACTGTAGGAAAGTTTCGTGGGTCTTCAAAAAGTTAAGCATAGAATTACCATATGGCTCAACAATTCTCCACAAAGAATTGAAAAGAGGGACTCAAATAGATACTACAATAGTACACAATTTGTGTACAATAGTACACAAATGTTCATTGCAGCATTATTCACAATTACCAAAAGGTGGAAACAACCCAAGTGTCTATGAACAGGTGAATGGATAAACAAAATATGGCATATCCATACAAAAGAATATTACTCAGCCATAAAAAGGAGTGAAGTTCTGACACATGCTATGTGGATAAACCTTGAAAACACTACACTAAGTGAAGTAAACCACTTAAATACTGTATGATTCCATTTATATGAAATATCTAAAATAGGCAACTTCATAGAGATACAAATATTAGAACTTCCAAGGGCTGGGGGAGAGGGGAATTATTGCTCAATAGAGTTTCTGTTTGGGGTGATGAAAGAGTTTAAAAAATAGATGGTAACAATGATTTCACAATGTTGTGACTACAATTAATGCCACTAACTTATACACTTAAAAATGGTTAACTAAGGGCGCCTCAGTGGGTTAAAGCCTCTGCCTTCGGCTGAGGTCATGATCCCAGGGTCCTGGGATCGAGCCCCACATCAGGCTCTCTGCTCAGCAGGGAGCCTGCTTCCCTTCCTCTCTGCCTGCTTGTGATCTCTGCCTGTGAAATAAATAAATAAAATCTTAAATTAAAAAAAAGGTTAACTACCAAAATGGCCTGCTTCACGTTATACATATTTTACCATAATAAAATGTAATGTTGGCCATAATATACATGATTCCGTTCATTCAGTTTGGTCAATAAAATATTCAATGCTTTCATTTTTTTTGTTTTAAAAAAAATGAAGGGATTAATTCTGAGCAAGACAGGGATGTCTTTCTCTATCCTTCCTGTTTTTCCTCTATCCTTCCTGTGCTCTGGGGGCATAGGTGAGGATGTGTACATATCTACCTAAGATTGCCCTTGTCCCCAGGGACATTAAGGGAGTTCCCAACAGACTCTTATTTCCTTTGCTAAACAAGAAGCAAGCTCCTGTGCTTGGAGTGGACAGGATGGGGAGAGGTTTAATAAGGAACTGGAGGAGAGCAGTGAGTTTAAGAGTGGCCATCAAGGGGAATGGGAGAGGGAGCTGACCAAGGATACATAGAAGAACTGCCCAGTAATTTTCCTGACCCAGCTAAGACTGGCACATGGCTTCTGTGTAGGATTTCATCTTCAAATCTTGTTTATTTTCCCCAGCTGCACCAGGCATAGGAGTCCGAGAAGTTGGATTGCTATTCTTCTCCTTGATGGGGTGTTTGTGGCATGGGCACCATGGTTGACTAATGGCCAAAGAGGGCAATTTGAGAGGGCATATAAAAGAATGGTTCAGGGGCACCTGGATGGCTCAGTTGGTTAAGTGCCTGCCTTTGGCTCAGGTCATGATCCCAGCGTCCTGGGATCAAGCCCCACATCAGGCTCCTGTTCGGTGGGAAACCTGCTTCTCCCTCTCCCACTCCCCTTCCTTGTGGTCCCTCTCTCACTGTGTCTATCTCTGTCAAATAAATAAATAAAATCTTAAAAAAAAAAAAAAAGAATAGTTCACAGGGCCAACCAAGGGGTACAGACTTGATACAAATGAGGAGTCTGAAGGAGACTCATGACCCTGGAGAAAGTGGAATTGAAATGTGAAAATCAGTGTAATGAGAGTGAAGAGTGAGAGATAGGATAGGATTTTGGATTTCAAATGTTGCAGAGGTAGGACTTTGCTGGTTGATGACATTATTGAAGTTTCTAGAAGTGAAGGTGAAGTTGTGGACATGGTATATTAGAGTGGACTAACTGTTGTCACAAGTAGATGAAAAGATGTATAATGGCTTAATTATAGTAGAAGTTTGTTTCTTATTCATGTAAATAGTCCATGGTGGTTGTGGGAGTGTTCTCCTTCTCTATAATTCAAGAACCCAGGGTGATGGAGGCTCTGTCATCTGCAGTCAGATCAAGGTCATCCAGACGTTGACATTCAGTTGGCATAAAGATAAAGAGGAAAGAGAAGTACATGTAAGTAGTTTTATGGGCTGGGTGTTCACAGAAAGAGGTACACATCATCTCTTCATATGTCATTGGCCAGGACATGGTCACACGGCCACACCAAATTGCAAGGAAATCTGAGAGATGTGTAGTTATGTGTCCTGGAAAAAAGAGCAACCAGCCACCCTTCCTACACTTGAGCCTCAAAGTTATTTTTTAAAGCATCTGCTGTTGTGATGCTGCTACTTAGTTTTATTCTTAAGTCCGGAGATAAGTTTCAAAAAGGCTAACTTTATAAAGATAGCTGAAGTGAAAAAGCCTTATCTGACCATACATGGGAAGCCTTCACTTCTAATTCTGTTCCTCGTGTCTATTCTGGTAGGTGTTTTTTTTTTTTTTTTTTTTTTTTAATCTAGGCAGACATCTCTGTAACCCAGTTTCCTCATTTGATGAAGTGAGTTTCATTCTTTTTCTTCATCAGAAATGTGTACAAGGTTTTTTTGGTAATAGAGCCCCTTTATCACACACTTTGTGCCAGTAGCAAATATTAAATAACAGGGAGATACGCATTAAGTCACTGAAGGCATTAGCCCTCACAATGAGCCAAAATGGATTTTGTGTCGAATTTAAGGGCAAGACCCATTTTGCTTCTGACTGTTGCCTTAACAAATGAGGTAAAGACTTCTTTTTGAGCCACATAGATGTATTTTTTTCTATAAACAAGCTGCTTAGTGTTGGTTTTTTAAACTAGGTGAAATCTTCCTAATATGTATATTATCCACCTCATATTATCTGCCAATAGGGATGCAAGGCAGGCACAGCGTCAGCTGAGAGTCATTGGCTGATAATGTTGAGCTCATAGTCACTCCCCTCACATTGAGCTGTGGGGGTGGGGGAGGGGGGGAATTGTAAAGGACACCAAAGAGGAATTTCCTCCCCAGAAGAGAGTTTGTTCCAACAACTATGTGAGGAGATTCAAAGGGTCTTGGTATAGACTGGAGTGGTTCACCATCTTACTTTCCAAAATTATATGGAAGTTGTTCTGAAAACAAACTCTGTGTCTTGGTAAGGAAAGATCCTTTAAGGAAACATGATGAATTACTACAGAGTACTAGGTGTGCCTCAAAATGCATCCCCCGCTGATATTAAGAAGGCTTACCACCAGTTAGCTCTTCAGGTACATCCAGACAAGAACCCAGAAAACAGGGAGGCAGCTGAGGAGAAATTCAAACGAGTAGTAGAAGCCTATGACATCTTGTCTGATGCCAAGAAACGCAACAACTATGACAAGTCCAAAGAGAACCACATCAAAATGGAAAATACAGGTGACTGCAGAGACAAAAACTGCTTGAAAGAGAAACCACAGTTTAAGAGGCCACACTCTGGCTTTCAAAATGTCTTTGAAGATGGAGACTTCTTAGGAGATTGTTTTTCCACTGGTCATGTGGGTAAGGCCAGGAGATTTCACTCCTCCTTCTTTGATGTCATCCCCATATTGGACACAGGATTTTCCACATTTGTATCCCTGGGCTCTAGACCAAGTCCCTCTTCCTCTGGGACATTAGTACCCTTTGTAAGCAGTGGAATGGGAAACTTCAGACTGGTCACCACTTGTAGCCAGATAGTGAATGGCAAGAGAGTTGTTACAAAGAAAGTCCTAGAAAATGTGAGAGGGAAAACTGAAGTGGAAAAGGACAGCCCATTTCATCAAATTCCTCCACATCATGGGTAAGGAGTCTGTGCTTTGTTCTTTCATAGCGAGACTTTCCTGTAAGGATGGTGAGTCTGATGCTTATCAAAGACAGAATTGGAATCTAAGAGTGTGTTGAACTAGAATGGACAGAAGTCAGCTTAGTCCAAACCTCTTGTTTCACAGAGGAAAGAAATAATGGGCCAGATGATACACAAGAAACTAAGAAGCAGCAGAGTTTGGCTTTCATCCCATCTTCTGTTTCTAATTGAGCCTTCTTTTCCTCTGCACTATATTTGGGACAGCAGAGACCACCCCACAAGTATGGCCTTCTGGGTTAGTTGCAGGGCCCTCCTATCAGAAAGCCCACTGACTTCTCTCTGACTTTTTCACTGTCCCTCCTTGCTATTAACCAGTTTCCTCTTTCTTGACAGCCACTGTTTTTCTCTTCGTCGTACCTCATCATTCCAATTGGCCATATAACAATCTCAATTGAAAGAGCTATCAAGGTGTATTAGCATTTGTAGAGAGAAAGAGTGAAAAGTAAAAGGGTTAAGAGTTTTTTAAATAGAGACTTTTTAAAATAGCTAGCATTTATTGAGTACTTGGTAGATATCAGGCATTCTACTTCACCTGTGTTATCTCAATAATCCTTTCAGCAGTGAAATACAGTAGCTACTTTTCCTCCATCATATAGATAAGGAAATGAGGCTGAGAGAGATTAATAACTTGCCTAGGTCCCACCTAATAAGCAATAAAATAATGTCTTTCTCTAAAACACATGCTTCTCTACTGAGCTATAATATCTAAGGATCCCACTCATTTATTTTTACATCTTGGGTCTTGCTCTCATTGGAAATTTACACATACCATTTCTAAACCTTACTTCCATGCATGAGTACTTGCTGGAACTTATTAAGTAGGCAAAGATTTTTTGCATAAATATTCTTGTCCAACAGGTACTTGGTTACTCTTACATGAAGATAGAAACTGAAACTGACAAATGATTATCCCTAACACAGGGAGGTAAACAGGATCCCAAGATGGTGAACTCTCTTTTTGTTTTGACTTTAATCATAACGTACATGCTAAATCATGGGATTTTTTAATATTTATTTAACTGGATCTGGTCACCCTCCAACCCCTTCATTTATGCTAATAAACAGACTGGGGTACAGAGGAGTGGTTACTTGTGGAAAATTACTGATGGAGTCTGCATCAGAAACTCTGTCTTCCATTTCCCAGTCTCATGCTCATTCTAGTACACCATGCTGACTGGCAAAATTTGGATTTCATTTGCATCTCAATCTTTTATAGAAGTTATGTAACAAATGATTCGCTTCCTTAATCAAGGAACTTTTCTGTGTTTGCAGTTTTTATGAGACAAATTTTTGATGTAGTCTTGAGCTTTTTTAATCTCACCGAATTTTCTGAACTTGAACAGGAATACGCCTACATCCCTCTGGCAAAGGGTAGCATTCAGGCAGGGAGCACACTTCCAGAAAGGAAGCAGTAGATGGATTTGGAATTGGAACACATCCTGTTCTTGCTGCTTACTAGTCATTGAGAACCTCCTGTCTGTCAGGCACTGTACTAGGTGCCTTACGTGAATGAATCATTTCTAATCTGTAGAATCCTTCAGGGGTTTATTTTCATTTTGCAAGTGAGGAAACTGAGGCTCAGGAAATTCAGGTCCTTTGTGCAGGCTCACACAATAAGTTGTGGAGAGACAAGGTTCAGACTGCAGTTTGTTTGACCTGGAAGCTCACATTTCCATCATTTTGTGTTCTACTGCCATTCATCTGAGCTGCTGTAGTCAGTCATGACCAAAGAGGAATGTTTTGTTGTATATATGAGTTATATTCATTTCCAGTTTTTAAAATGAGGATTTCCAGATGGAGCTTTCTTTTACCAGCCCTAGTGTGAGGTGAACTGCAGTATGGCTACTGAACAAAGGGAAAAAATCAAATTGGAGCATGAAACTTGATTTTCCATTTTGTCTTAAATAAAATCCAAATTTCAGCATTTTTCACAGACAACTTGGCTTTTGACAGAAATGCTGAGTTGTAGAAGGACTTTTTTTTGCCAGCAAAGATTAAAAAAAAAAAAATTCGGTTAGTCAAGGAAGTTTTCTTGTTGTGTAGAAATGAAAGCAGTGTCATCTCTTCCTGATGCCCATTTAAAATACGTAGGAAATTAAGTATGAGCAAACAACAACAAAGGAAAGAAGGAGAGCAGGAAGGGTTTTGCTGTTTTTTTAAAGTGTTATAAGTGAGTACATCTTCATCTCAGTCAATCTAAGATAGATGGGAGCTTTGAAGGAACCTGTGATTCAGATTCCTGTGACCTCATAGTGCCTTCAGAACTGCTAGAGTGGTTTCCGCATGTCATAAGCTCCTCTGCCAATTCTCATCCTTACAGCTTTAACTGATGGGCAGTCTTTGCGCTTACTAGCTGCGTAAGGAGAAGAAAATATTTTAGATTTAGAAAGTCAAATCCTTTGTCCTTAAATAATTTTCCAGTCTGCCCTGTCAACTAACTGCTTTTTTATGCACCATGTTTTTGAATAGTTGTCTCTCACAAATTAATGTGAGACTTTTTTTTTTTCTAGTTGCCAGCAAAATAAAGGTTTCCAGAGTTCAAAAACACCAAAAAGCAGTTAGAAGTAATTCCTTGCCCTTCTGCTCTGGTTCATGGTAGGTGGTTGACAAATGACATGAGGACCATGGGCCTGTTGAGGAACAATAAGTGATTATATAACTCATAGCTCAGGAAGCATTTGTGAAAGTAGTATCTTATGGAATCCCATCAGAAACCCCCAAATCCCCACATTACCAACTGATGAGACAGAGGAGGAAGGGATTTACCCAAAGTCACAAAGTTGGTATTTTTCTCTTTTCTTTTCTTTTCTTTTCTTTTCTTTTCTTTTCTTTTCTTTTCTTTTCTTTCTTTCTTTCTTTCTTTCTTTTCCTTTTCCAGTGATCCTTGATCCTTTTCCTTCCTTCCTTCCTTCCTTCCTTCCTTCCTTCCTTCCTTCCTTCCTTCCAAGATTTTCATTTATTTATTTAACAGAAAGAGAAAGAGAGAGGGCACGAGCAAGGGGAGCAGTAGGCAGAGGGAGAAGCAGGCTCCTGGCTGAGCAGGGAGCCTGACATGGAACTCGATCCCAGAATCCTGGAATCATGACCCAAGCCAAAGGCAGACACTCAACTGACTGAGTCACCCAGGCATCCCAAAGTGGGTGTTTCTTCAGCCCGTGAGCCCAGTGGTGGTTCTCCACACACAGAGACATACAAAGCACATTTTCTTTATAGCCTGGCAAAACACAAGGGAGTTTGGAAGAATGGCTTTCTTGGGGTCAGTGTAGGAAAGAGTCACAGTTTTGTGTAGTTGCAATTATACCCCTGTCTCCTTATCTGTCCATCATGGGGGAGATGGGTACAGACATATGTCTGTACAGACAAGTCGATGCTTACCAAACATGCACAGCTGGTCCATCTCTTGAGCCCAGGCCCCCTAAGAGCCAGCTCACTTGTCCCACGATAAAAAATAATAAAAATCAGGTGGTATTCAGCAAGCTTCTCAGCGATCCCTTTCCAGAAGTTCCAAACTACTTTCTGTATTTGGGATCCATATCCCTTTCATGAAAAGCCTGTTTATATTTTACCCCAAAAGCTTTGTGGTCTCCAGGGAACTCTGGTTGGGTACCTGAAGGGAGTGGGAAGTGGATTCTGAGAGAGCAGGGGCAGAGCCCTGCCCGTCACTACCTTCACTACCTGAATCTTGAGGATCCATTAAGAGGAAGTATGGTAGGTTGATTTTCAGGTTGAGACAGGATGGTTCTTCTTTTAAAGGACAGGAAAGAAGTTCACAGAGAGTGAATCATTTTTCCATTGCCCGTTGTTGTAATTGGCAAGATTCTGGAATACCGAGTCATCTATGACCCCACTGGTTCACCTATATACACATATTTACTTCCAAGTGTCAAGAGAAACACCAAGGCATTACGGAGAGAACATCAGCTGTGGTTTTAGGCAGATGATTTCCAATCCTCTGTTTTCCTTGCCTAACTTCTTGATCTTAGGCATGTTAACTTCTCGCCTTGGTCCTTAGTTTGCCTGTAAAATCTGATAATACCTGCCTGCCCTAATTTATAGAGTTGTTTTAGGAGTTAAGTACACAGAAATTTTGCACAAACTTCAATACATTTTATAAAAGGAAAGAGTCATTATTTCTTTCAGAAACAATATCTCTGACCCTTACAGATATATGTGCCAAGCCTGCCATCATTTTTTTAAGATGAGACTTTAGGGATGTGGTCTTGAAAACAAGATCCGCTATGGATTATATTTAATCCAAAAATAAAAGTGAAAGATGGAACATAAAAATAGAGGAGTCCATTTTTTCCATTTGACCCAAGTGAAAAAGTAATGTTTTTAGCTTGAGGACAATCAATATGTCTTTTTCCTTTGAACTTTTTTTGTTCTTCATTATCCTTGAGCTTTTGGACTCAGTGTTGGTTTTACCGTCTTCTTCCATTATAGGAAATTGATGGAAAATCCCTGCTATTGATGACAAGAAATGATGTGTTGACGGGACTTCAGTTAAAACTGGGGCCTGCTCTGAAAATCTACGAGTATCATGTAAAACCTCTGCAGACAAAGCATCTAAAGAACAACTCTTCATAGTACAGTCAAATTGGGGTCTTAGACCTCAAAAAATACATAATGATATAATTTAGTTTCATGTGATGAAACTTTGTAAACAGAATACATACATGTGTATATGTAAAGAATTTCAGTCAAATGAAACGTTATCCTATGGGATAGACTAGGCAATCCATCGGCTGACCTGAACTCAGCCAGGAGGAGCAAGGATGACTTGTGGACAGCATGGTTTTCCTGGTGGAGCCTGTCAAACAGAGTTATCTTTGACATGGTTGGACACCCCTCCCCACCAAAGGGGTTTTCTTCAGATTGCTTTCCCAAAATCCTTGAAAAAGTGTTGAATGGAATGATCTTCTGGTTACAGATGTAGAGATGAAAGACCAGAAAACTTAGGGGAGGGGAGAAAAGAGAGAGTTGCTGTCTCCCTTGAATCCCTCTGCTCCTTAGAGTTTGTGTTATTTGGATGGAATTGCCGACACCCTCTTTTATAGAGGGTCTTTCACTTGACCTTATTAAGGTTTCACTGGGATGTACCGTGATGTTTGAGAGGAACGTGCATCATGGCCCCTGCAGGAGCAGAACCTCTGAAAAGAGAAACTCTGTTTTGTCTTGGGGATCGCCATCCATATTTAGCTTTTTTCACAGGGGATAATGATATTTTCTGCATAGATTTACTTTCAAATTGGTTCTTTGTTTCCGAAGAAGAAAGGATTTTTTCACTTTATGGTTTGTATTTATACTGATTTGTTTCTGAAGGAATTTGCCGAGAGTTATAGATCAAAAAGCCTTGTTACTAGTACAGAATATTTTTATATATATTCCTTCATGATGGTGTAATATTTTTTTAATTGCTCTGATGCTTTATTTGATTCTTGGTTTGAGTACTTGTTTTTAAGAACTTGAAAAAAGTGAGCTTGCTACATCTCTGTTCAAAGAGACATTTGTTCAAATCTCTGTGTGTCAATGCCTTGTTGAATTGGTGCTTTGTGGTTGCAATAAAGCATTGCTTCAGTTTATTGCCAGTGTCTGTTTGATCTTTTCTGCTTGGTCGCCTCTTCAATTGGGATTAAGGATTAAGGTTATTTTTCAACACCATGGAAAGAAAGTTAAGCCTAAAAAAACAAAACAACAACAACAACAACTTTAGAAATATAAAACATTTTGATCTATTTATGGGCTTATCTTCTTTATAAACTGCATTGTTCAAGTAGGCCTTGTTCCTTCTCTTGCCCCATCCAAAAACCAATTTTAGGTATAATTTTAGCCAAAGAATAATAATAATTCTTCTTCTTCTTCTTTTTCTTTCTCCTCCTCCTCCCATTCTTCTTCTCTTCCCCCTTTCCCTTCCCCCCCCTTCTTCTTCTTGTTTTTTACTGTACGCTAGTGGAGGGTCATGAATTTCTGAAAATTTTGGTGAAAGCTATGTACTTTCCCTCCAGGCAAAAGCTCATATTCCCACATATAAAACTTTGCAGAGCTGATGGACTCCCCGAAGTTCTTCTGTCTTCCCCTTCCTCAAGTTAAGAGCCACTATGTTAGAGAGTGTTAAAATTCAGTCTCCTGTGAAGATAATTTCTCTAAAGAACAGAAAATCTGAAGATGAGAGTGAAAAAAAAAAAAAAAAACAAAACAAAACAGGAAATGGTGTAATGAGTGGAGTTGAAAAATGCATTCCAAATTAATTCAATTATGGAGTGTAAGGAGTGTCTGAAATTTAAGTAATGCTTTGTTTTGCATGATAAGTGGGAGAAGGGGTTACAAAAGAGACATTTTCCATCCCCATGTTCTCACAGTCTACAAATCATGCAAAACTAAAAGGCAGGGGCACCTGGGTGCCTCAGTGGGTTAAGCCTCTGCCTTCAGCTCAGGTCATGATCTCAGGGGCCTGGGATCCAGCTCCACATCAGGCTCTCTGCTCAGCGGGGAGCCTGCTTCCTCCTCTCTCTCTGCCTGCCTCTCTGCCTACTTGTGATCTCTGTCTGTCAAATAAATAAACAAAATCTTTACAAAAAAAAAAAAAAAACCTAAAAGGCCGAATATATTTATGTACTGTGGGGAGCAGTACTGATAAAAAGTGAGAAGTGTAATTGCTGGTGATGCAGGCCAGAGAGAAGGAACTCGGGATACAACAGAAGGAAGATGGGATGAAGAACTGAATTCATCCCTCTGAAAGACTTTCCCACAGGTGAAATAGTGATGATGTGTGATCCTTCTCTGCCTCTATGGGATAGCATGAGAATGTCTCTGCGCTACTTCTGTTCATGCACCTGATACTTTATATATGAGTCTGGAAAAATATGACTATAATCTAAAACTGCCTCCCTGCCCTCACCCCCACCCTGCCAAGTAAGATAAACAAGACAGAAGGGTGTCTTCATGAAAAACATCCAGGGAGACCAGAGATGGCATGGCCCTCCATGATGTTAGGGATTCCTCCTACCCTTTTGCTCCATCATGCATGCGACTTATTCTCAGAATCCTTTCATGGCCCAAGATGACTGCTTTAGCTCTCCCCATCACCACTTGACTTCTAATCTTTCCAGCAGGAAAAAGAAAAGAGGAAAGGAACATACCTCCTCCCTCTAAAGACACTTCCAAGAAATTGCACATACTTCCCCTTATAGCTTGTCCAGAATTCAATCACATTGCCACACTGAAGCTGCAAGGGGCTTGAAATATTCTTTTCCTTAGAACCCATGGGTCCAACTAACAAAAGTCCCATTATTCTACAAATAAGGGAGAAGAGATATTAGAGGACAATGTCCTGTCACCACCATCAGCTGGCCATTGAATACTTGGAGCAAATGTTGCTGAAAGTATGTTTTTAGTTGTATTTTTCTCTAGATTTGAACTTGGGCTTATACTCCCTTCAGTCCCTGGATGCTTTTATCCTGTCACCTCTCACAACTACCAGAAGTCTTGTTCCCTAACCCCAACCTGACTCAACTAAGCTTTAGGCCCAGGCTACTCCATACATGCTTGTCAGGGAAGGGGAAAAGGAAAGGAAAAGAAAATATCTTAATTGAAAAGCAAACTGAAAAGAATCAAATCATTTCTTCTTAGCCCTTTGTTGACAGCTTTCAGGCAAAATTAGCAAACTAAAGATAGTGTGCCTTTCATACCTCCAGAATAATGCCTTGGCAATAACTGAGGGTGCTTTCTGCCCCTCCCCACCCCCAATTCAGGGGAAAGGAAGTGTTATCAAAACAAGAGGCTAGAAGTACTTGAAATTCAGCAGGTAGGCAGCCTTTGTCTCCAAACAGCCCTAAAACCAGAAATGTCTGAGTCCTTTCTGATCACACCAGGTTTCTATTCCTGTGATCTGGGCCTGCAGCTAGTAGCAAATACCCACAGACATGGGAAGCACCTCATAAGCATAAGTGGGAATGAGCACACCTTCGTGCCAATATATTTCATGTGAGAATTGTTTAATGTTGAATTTGATTATTCTCAACTGGAGGAGCAGACAGGATATCAAAATCGTGAGGGATTTAAGAAAAAAATTGCCCCTCCACCTCTCTTCCCCACTCCATGTTTTAGCCTTGGATTCAGACTCCACAAAGGACCTGTAATGAATTGATTTGAAGGCAAGGTCACACACTGGTCTCTTTTAGTGGAATCTAAGCTGACATTTTCTTCGGCCAGTGCAGTATGTGTGTGTTCTTATGACTACATTTGCATTCTTCTAGGTGAGGCTGAAAGCTCCAATTTATTACAATCTTTTTAATTCCCTAATACCTTGCAGCCAGCAACTGCACTCTTTTACATTGTCATTATAAGGTATGTGAAATTTAGACTGCTGATGGAGGGCAAGGACCATACAGAGAGCCTCCTTAGCATAAGTTAATTCAGGAACTAGCACTTACCAGTAGATTTAGTTGAAAAGAAAATAAGGTGGCATAGTGCATCAGAATGTGCAGCAGATTTGAGCATCATTTTTTATACTTAATGGACATGACGAATATGAATGATCTTCATATTCAGAAAGAAGTTGGTGTCCGTCTCCTTGTTCTCTACTCAACAAATACCCTATGTGAGCATGGTTTCTGTCCCTCTAAGCTTAGCATCCACAGTCAGGGGAACATACTGTCCTTCCATTGCATTAGAGAAATAGATCTTAGAAGAATTTAATTTGGAAAAGTCTAATGACCCTCAGTTACCCAACCACTCCTATATTTGGAAGCCAAATGCAAAGAGTACTTACTGGTAGTGATCCATCTGCCTTTTGACGGTCATTGCAAATGGGATCTGCAGGGGTCAGGTCTGGGCACAGAGCCATTAAGTGTTTTCTGTAATGATTTGGAAGATGAAGTTAAATGTTCAGAGAGCTGACTGCTGTAGGACAGATATGTTTCTTTGGAGAAAACTTGATAATTCTGCTTCTAAACCAGGAGCAGAAGCCACAGGAAGGAAAGAGAAAGCATTGGGTACACTAATGAGCAGCTCGTTAGTTTCAAGCTGCAGCTCCATAGGCAAGTAAATAGTCTGGGTACTGTTTCTGGCCAGTCTTGGCAGTTCTACACCGAAAGAAAGAGATTAAAACGATCACGTCTCAGGTTATTTGGTGACTGTAGCTGTGTTATATCTTTGTGAACCTCAAGAAAGAAGTTATGTCCAGCCTAACACTGGGGCAGAATAATGTAGGACCCTGTGAGTAAAAGCAAGAGGAGTCTTTGGCTACCCACGAGTAGGAAGCTAGGCTGATGTTTCTTTACCTCAGGTAGGCAGAGTGTTCCTGTCTACTATTATCTTTAGGGAGACATCAGGAATGCTGGGGATGCCAGCCAATCTCCAAATAGAACATGTGCTCCACTTCCACAGAATAAGTGTCTGGGAAGAGCTACCACATTTACCATAGCAGAGGTTAGGAAAGAGGTGTCAGTAACACCGCACGTACTTGTTACCTGTAGGGCAGGCCATGGCCTGGGGAAGCAAGATCTAGAAACAACAAAATAAGGGAGCAAGATAAAACATGCTCTCATCTAAGACTTTGAGATCACAGAACTTCGAGACCTTAAGCTTCCAGAAAAGTCAGGTAGAGCAACCAAGGAGATATCTTCCACAAGTTTCTCCAGTTCTGTCATCCGTGGGGCAGAGACATCTATGGCAACATTTGCAAGTTAAATGTCTTCTTTCTAAATTAAAGATAACAGATTCTTTCAGTAAATTGTGTTCCATTTCCTTTTTCAATGGGCTACACTCTATTTTTACATGCTGGGAAATATACAATTTGGAAATAAAGCTGTAAAACTCGTCAGATTATAAACATATTTTGAGAGAAACTCAGTAAAACCTTCAAGCAACTAGCAGTTCCTGCCTTTAAGAATTAGTGTTTGGCCCAGGATGTTAACTACAATGGAATTAAAATATAAATAAATACATTCATACATACATATAAATAAATAAGAAGTAGTGTTTGGGACAGTGTTCTCCCTCCTACACCAGAACCCAATGACCCCAGTTGAGATACACTCTGCCATAGTGGGTGGGAACACTGAGGCTGCTCCACGTAGATCTCCACATAGATCCACAGCCCTGTCATTTACTAGATATGGGAACTCCGGTAGGTGTATGGCTTTCTTGGCCTCAGGGTCCTCACCTATTCTCTAGTGCAGAGACAGAGACAGCATAGAGCAACACTTGCCTGTCACTGTCCAATAAATATATAATGTCATATATACATATATATAAAATAAATATATAGTATATAATAAATATAACTTTAAATGTGTCATTTAAAATTTTCTAGTAGTCACATTTTTAAAAGTAAAAAATAAAACAGGAAAATTAAATAATCTAATCTGCTAAATCCAAAATATTACCATTTCCATACATGATCAATATCAAAATTACTGATATAATTTACAATCTTTCTAAGGTATGTCTTCAAAAGCCACTGTGTATTTGACACTTACAGCACATCTCTATCAGGATAGAACAGCTCAAGTGTATCATTTAAGATTAGTTTCAGTGGAAAACGTAGGTAACAATGACTTAGGCAAGTAGAATTTCCCTA